ATGGAAACATTTCGTAAACATCACGGTCTGGCAGGAGGCGGGGCACCTGTGACCTTGACTGCGGTGTTCAGTGTCATAGTGGGGAGGAGCTTGAGGTCTCCAGGACCCACCTGCCACCTGAGTTATCACCCCAGCAGACCCCCTGGGTGAGGGATGGGGTCACTGGCTCTGCATCTGGGTAAACTGAGGCACAGAGAAAGCAAAGCGGCTTCTGAGAAACATGTGTATTCTAAGTTTTCCTGTATGACAAGACCCTGGCGTCTCTGTGTGCTGAAGTTTCCTCAGATGAAATGTTTAACATTCACTTGTTTCACCGTGGAAAAGTCCAGATGCTCAAGACGGGATCAACAGCACTATCAAAGCCTCACATTGGAAGAACACTGGTACTCTCTAAGCACTTGCTGATATGCTGAGAGAACCACTTCCTTCTCCCAGCAACCTGGAGAGGTGGGCAAGGCAGCCGTCATCACCTCCTGTTACTGGTGGGGAAACGGAGTCTCAGAGACTTGCCCCAGATCACTCAGCCCATAAGCAGCAAAGCTGAGATGCAAGCTCAGGTCTTTGGATTCCAGGCTTGATGCTTTTTTCTGGATATCATAACACCTTTCCAGAACCTTCCAATGGGTCCCCAACATTCAGGAATCTGAGCTCCCAGCTTCACCCCTCACTCTGGGACCCCCGCTCCTCCTGCTGTGTGCCTTTCTCCTTCAGCAGTAGTGACATCCCCTTACTCTGCAAAGGTCCCATGGGAAGCACAGGTCTCTTGCCTGCCCATCATCAATAATAAGTATCACCCATCGCTGACGGATTATGTAGAACAGTGTTGCTCAGAGCATACCCTGTGTGCATCTGAATTACCTGAATTTCCTGTTAAAATGCAGCTTCTGGCTCTGAGGGTCTGGGTGGGGGGGTGCCCAGGACCCAGTGTTTCTAACAAGATGCATCTTGGGAGGATAGCTTGGGTAGCGAGTGGGCAGCCAGCTGTAGGGCCATTTTCAACATCAGCTGCCTGGTCTGTGCCCCCGGCCCTCTTTCCTCACCATCTCTCTCCTGAGACTCAAGGCACAAGGGCAAGGGTGCCCCCTCCTTTCGTGGCCGTGCAGGTGGCTGGTGGGCAGCCTCTCTTTCAGAGCACCGTGGGGCTGCTCCCCACCCTCCAGGGGTCCTGCGAGAGGCTGAGAAGCCTTTGCCTCCTTCTCTCTGGCTCTGCAGACTCAGCAGGCTGGCCCCCTCTGCCCAGGCACTGGGAGTCAGAGGTGGGAGGCTGCCCGCCATCTCCCGCAGCCCTCATTGAAATTTCGCCCTTGCCCGACAATCTTTGGTTGAGAGCTCAGCCCTATTAATTCTCATTGTGCATTTAGAGCCAATAGGTTTTTATTTATTCATTTATCTTGGTCTTCCTCCTCCCTCCCCTTCCTCACCGGGCTGGAATTTACAATTCAGGTCTCAGGTGGCCTTGCAGAAGGACAACGAGTCCAAGGCCGGGAGAGTCTGCGTGCTGAAGCCTGCAAGGGGCAGTTGCCCCCCACCCCTCACCCCCCGGCCCCCGGTGCACCCTCAGGATGCTTCAGGGCTCACGCTCCATTCTGGATGGATGCTGCGACAGGCCCAGCACTAACTGCAGGAGGGATGCCAGGAAACAAGGACCCACTGGGCCATCCTGAGGCTGAAGTGGGGCTGAGGGCTGCCTGGGAGCCACTAGGGCGCCCCCTGGTGGCTGGTTAAAACCACCGGCCAAGGCTAGAGGAATTAACAGCTTCCAGAGCACACATCCAACTGCCTGCGGCCCTGAGACTAGGAATACAGGGCGTGGCGTCCTCAAGGCTGGAGAAGGGCAGAGAAGAAAAGGCCGGGACACCACTGAGGGCTTAAAAGCCACAATAATAAGCAAACAACAGCTACCACACCTTGAGCACCTACTATGTGCCGGGACTCGCCTGGCTGGGCTGTGTCATTTCCCCAGCACTGTGATATGCCTTCAGCAGCAGCATCTCAGCTTCACCGAAGCTCAGAGAGGGAAGGTGGGCCACCTGGCACGTAAGCACAGGCCTTGCCTGGCTGCGCACAAGTTCCCGGCCTGCCCTTTAGACCGAGCGACCTTGGCGGGATTTAGCCAACACTTTCTAATCCCTAAAATGGGATTAGAACGGTCACCACCTTGGAGCATCCTGCTGCTAAGTCACTTCAGTCATGTCTGACTCTGTGCGACCCCATTCCTGGGATTCTCCAGGCAAGAACACTGGAGTGGGTTGCCATTTCCTTCTCCGATGCATAAAAGTGAAAAGTGAAAGTGAAGTCGCTCAGTAATGTCCGACTCTTCGCGACCCCATGGACTGCAGCCTACTAGGCTCCTCCGTCCATGGGATTTTCCAGGCAAGAGTACTGGAGTGGGGTGCCATTGCCTTCTCTGTGGAGCATCCTAGAGATGATTTAATGAGACCTGCACACAACCTGCTCGGGGAAGCTGTTGTAAACAGCAGGGCGGGGGTTTGAATCCAACTGGATGTGACCCCCTCCTCCCTGCAGAAGCAGCCTGGGCAGTGTCCCCACCCCCGTTGGCTGCATGTTCGTGATCAAAGGCAGAGCCGGATGGCAGCCCATCATGAAACATTTAAGTACATCAGGTTGATGTCAGGACACTGAGGACCCATCTAGCAGAGGAAGGTGGAGACGCTGTTTTTCCACCACTGCCCTCCTTGCCATCTTCCCAGGAAAGGACAGGAAGGGGACAGAAGGTCCTTCCACAGCCCAGGGTTCCAGGACCCAGGCTGGGCGGCATCGGGACTGTGGTGGGGTGACCACCCCACCTCGGCAGCTGCGCTGGGTTCTCTGTGTGAGAATGGGGGCAGGGCGGAGGCCCAGGGCCCAGAGCATCCTGAGCCAGCCTTGGCCAGGAGAGGGCCTCGGACTTGCACCTGATGGTCATCCCCACTTCTCGGGCCTTGACCAGAGGCTGGTCCGGTGATTTACGATTTCACCACCCACCCCATGCCCCCGCCCCCGACACATTAAGATCGCGATGAATATTTAAAAGAAGAAATATAGTCAAGACTCTAACACAAGAGGCAGCGGTTGACTCTGCTCTGGGAGTCGAGTGGAGAAGTCCTCACATGAGCTGGGGCGGGCACTGAGCCTGAGACGTGGATCAGAGCTTGGCTCCCCCAGTGCTTACCTTGGCCCTGACCTTCAGGGACCAGCCCCCACGCCCATCCCTGGGCCAGCGAAGCCCTGGGGTCCTCAGTGAAGTGGGACCATCCGGTCCCTCGCTCCTGGCCCTGTGCTGCCTTCTCCTTCCCTGTCTCCCTCTCTCCCCAGCTGGGGCCAGCCAGTCTCCACCACCCACAGTGACAGCCTCCTGACCACTGACCGTGGGAACCTACCTTCCCAAGCTGACAGCTCTGGGATAGGACCCAAGCACCGCACAGGACTGAGCCATCCTTAGGAGCCCGGTGGGGACACCCCTCAGTCCGTCCATAAACCCAGAGCGCTGGAGGCTCTCCCAGGACACATGGAGGCAGCAACCACCCAAGGATGACACCCAGCCCACCTGTGGCTTCTGCAGCCTGGCTTCCCTGTCCAGCCTCCTGCCTGGCCCAGGGCCTGCAGGGCTCTGCCCAGCGGAAGGCATCTTTTGGGAAGCAGATCAGCTCAGTGACTCTCGAGCCAGACACTCCCATCAGAGCTTTACCACTTCCTGGGCTGTGACTTTGGGCCTCAGTTTCTCCATCTGTACAATGGGAATGATGATAGCTACCATCTAGGGGCACTTGCTCTGTGCCAGACCCTAGTCTGAGGGTTTATTTTATTTATTTTTAAATGTTATTTATTTATTTGGCTGCATCAGGACTTGGTTGTGACACGTGGGATCTTTCCTTGAGGCACACAGGCCCTCTAGTCGTGGCTCCTGGTCTCCAGAGTGCTCAGGCTTTAGTAGCTGTAGCACTCAGGCTCAGTCATTCCATGGCATGTGGGATCTTAGTTCCCTGACCAGGGATCGAACCCGTGTCCCTTGAACAGCAAGGTGGATTTTCAACCACTGGACCAGCAGGGAAGTCCCCAGTCTGAGCATTTTAGGGTGAACTAAACGCCTTAGGGTGACCTGAGTGTGTGCTGTGTGCACTTCAGAGGACAGCACTCAGCGATGCCGCCCATCCGGAGCTCACTTCCTGAAACTGTGCGGCACAGAATCAGCCCAGCTGAACTGAGCGAGGACTCCAAGGAATGACTCGTATTGAGCTTTCAGCCGCCACACTCGGGGACGGCACAAATGCCCCCACTGTTAGTATTGTTGTTGTTAATGGAGTGCTGATGGATCCTGTGGCTCTGACTCCGTCTTTTAACTAGAGATTCAAGTAACAACACCTGAAAGCCTCCCTTCCCCTGACTTAACCAGTGACTGTGGTCACTGCACATCGTGATGGAATCAGAAAGGGTGCCGTCGTCACCAGCCACCCGGATCTGACCCCTTCCTTCCTGCCTTACGAATCCCCTCTGCACTTCCGCCAGACCTTCCCCCGCAAAGGGCGCTTGGCCTCTCTTCGCCTGGCAAATGGTTTGCTGGACTGGATTGGGTGGACCAGGAGGTGACTCCCTGGAGGGATGAACAGGTGGAGGGCAGAGTGCAGTCTTGCAAATAGCACCTTGCTTGCTCGCCCAGATGCTGACTTCCTACAAGGGAGGCGGGGCTTATCTTCAAGGCTGGGCAACTGTGCCTTGGGTGGTTTAGTGGTTTTCCCCAGAGGAGAGGATCCAGTGATCACCAGGCCAAGAATTTCCCCACCCCAAAAAATGGTGTCACGTGACCCCAGCATCCTCCCGGCATCCTTTGCTCTGGCGCGTTTCCAAGGCCGGACCGAGATGGGTCCCAATCCTACAGGCGGGAAAGTCAGCCTGGCATCCAGGTCCTCCTGTTCTGCCCACCCATCCCATGGGTCTGGCCCAGACCCCCCACCCCCACCAACTTGGCCTGAGTGAAGGCCACGGGCAGGGGGCCGACTTACATGGGAGCAGAATCTCTCCGGGGGGTCTCCGCACGTGATGCCGGAGGGCTCCACCTTCACCTTGACATACTCCTTCAGGCGCATCACCTTGGGCTGGCAGGCATAGAACTCCCAGGTGGGGCCTTCGTCCGTGGTCACCCAGGATTTGCAGATGTCGTAGTCCCCGGAGGCCAGCGGCAGGCAGGGCAGGAGGAGGGCCAGCAGGCGCAGCATGGCGGCACAGTCCCCGGGGGCGCGGCCCGCAGGGGGCCCGGTGAGGCGGCGATGGCTCAGGCGGCACGCGCAGCCTCCGCATGGAAAAGCCACATCTACCGGGCGACGGAGGCCGGATGTCCCAGGGGCTCTGCCAGGTTGCAAACAGCGAGGAAACTTGGCTTTTCCGAGGCCGATGTGGAAAACCCAGAGCCAGCGTTTCTCAGAGTGCTGATGGGCAGATCAAGAAGTTGCCCACAATTTGGCGTCCTGCTCACCTTGGCATCACCCCTCTCCCAGAGGTGAATCTGATCAAATCAGGCAGACTCTCCAGTTGTGACCGTGGATGGAAATGGGAGACGGAGAGAGTCCGCAGGGATCTGGCATGAGGCCGGATCAGATTGCTTTTAATTTTTGTCCTTCCAATCAATCCAGCTCTTTAAAGGGCCCTTTCATGTGTGATGTGTGCTCAACACAACTGCACCACCACCCTCCGGCCTGCGTTGTAAAGATAAAACAAAATCAGGCAGCGTACCTGTTAGCTGCACACACGTTTCCCCTATGGGTCTGGCCTTGGCATTTTGGACCAATGAAAGAGATTTCTTTTCATATGGGCTGAAAGTGACAACAATCACGCAGCTGGACTGGAGCACAAAAAAAGTGACTGAGGTGTTAACTGGGGAGCAGCTTATTTGGGTCTGCTTTGGTGGGGACAGGTGCTAATGGGGCCAGCTGACCTTGGCTGGTAGCCATCGGCAACTTATCAGGAAGTTTCTAAGACTTCAGCTCCCAATCCATCCAGGTACCTGGGGTCTGGTTTGTCTTTCATTGTAGGAAGGGAGGAGAGAGAGCTCATTAGCAACAACACCTGCAACAAATTAAATAGAGAAAGAGGGGGATAAAGATGTGGAAGAACAAAAGCGCTCTGCAAAACGTGCAAAACACGAAGCTGCATTAGCAAGGTCTCTGGAGAAAACTGGGTTATTTTCATTAATATCAGAGAGGCACATCTGGAGACGGGGTACCTTATTCAAGAAGGCGATGAGCTTTCTCCTTATTTCTGGGGGTCCTTGGGTCAGCAGAAGTGTCCCTGTTTGGGGTCAGTGACTTTCTAAAACAGCCCCAGGAGCCGAGACGGAATGGTGGCTTTAAAATACTGTGACTGACAAGTCAAAATGTCAAAACCATTGAAGGCAGAGATGAGGCTGTAATTATCTGTGTCGATGAGGCTGTGTGGACAGGCTCAGATAAAGAATGGCCCACGTGTGGTCAACAGTTATGAATCAGGTGCTAATAACTGTCTCCAAAAGTTCTGAAACGGTGAACTTAATTTTCAACTGTAAGCAACTAGGGATGTTGGTGACTTTGACGGAAGTGACGATGGTGTGTCATATTAGATTTTTCCAATCGAGGCCAAAATTTCGCAGTCATCCTTAGAGGGTATGTTTATAAACAGGTCACCATTATGATTATTGCTTTACTATTTTAAGCTACTGGTAATTATTTAAAAGCCCTAAATAGATATAACTAAGATGAATATTACATTGTGGAAAAAAAACACAACTCCACTAATGTGATGTGTTCCCAGACATTTGATATATCACCGGAGAAACTGGTCCCCCAGTGAGGGATCCTGGCCAGAAATACTTAGCCAATAAATAGGGCAAAGGTTACTGCAATGAGTCACAGCAGAGCCATATGCGTTATTAATTCTGGTAATTATATCTCTGATTGTTGCTCCTAAATTCCCAAACTGCTGCAGCATCCATGCTACCTTCACCGCTCACCTGACTCTTCGGCCATTGTATCTAGAAGGTCCTGAAGAGTTAACTACGTTTCCATGATCCTCCATTCTCCATCCAGACACAAACACACTCCTGCCCCAAATGCCGAACCAGAAGGTTGGGGACGCTGTCCAGATGGGGGCTGACGGCTCAGCTCCACCCCAGGCGGAGTCCCCAGCCTAGGTCCCAGCGCTCCAGCCTGGGGGCATCATAAATCTGCATTAAGGCAGCCCCTGCCCCTCTCTTTGGCTGAAGGGCTCTTGATGGAGATGAATGAGGAGCCGGGGGGACACATTTTCACATCTCACCTCTGGCTGTTTCGAGAGAAATGGTGTTACAGAGTCCGCCTGGCCTTGAATGTGCTCCTTGCTAGAAAACTCTCAGAAAGAATCCGCCTGGAGACTATTTTTACAACCTGAGAAAATGTAGTAAAAATAAAATAGCGCCGGCCGGCAAAGGTTTGGATGCCTCTGTCTGAGCTTCATGCTGCCCAGAAAACAGCACGTCCCTAATTAATTCTCCCAGCCGCGGGCTCCCAACTGTTCACTCCCAGGAGGGGCGCTCCTGATACGGGACACCAGGAGCCGGGCTCCCAGGGAGGACCCACCCAGCCTGGGGCTTCCTTCATCTGCAGTGATGCTCCCAGCCTGAACGCTGCTGGACTTGGGGAGGCAGCGAGGCCAGGAGGCCAGGAGGCCCGCCAGATCCACGAGGCAGCACGCCTTGCAAATTTATTAATTGCTTTGCAGTTCTGTTGGCTTAAATACCATGCATTCCCTGGAAAACGGGGTGAGGGTGGGGGGCCAACAACGACAAAATCTGCCCGGGAGGGGGGCAATAAATGTGTTTACAACTAGTCAGTCAATTGGGCGTTGCTGGCACCATAAGGGAATTGTGAGCTCAGCACGAGAATATTATTATAGTCGGTTTTTGCCAAAGAGGAAAAAACGGGAGGGGGAGAGACTCAAGAGTCTCCGGCACAGCGAGGCGGAAAGCGGGGAGAGAGAAGCCAGTATGGGAAATTTCAACAGTAAGAGGTTGGGTCCCGGTAGATTGTTTTCTTTGGAAAATAAATCTTCACCTGATATTATTAAGAAACTGCAGCTCCCAGAAACAAATAGAATCAATGTGCTTTATTTTCTTTTAAGAGTCCTCAGGAACGGGAGGGGAGGGGGAGGGGCTGATAGCCAGGGTATTAAAACCCGAAAATTAGATTTTACCAGGATTTCTGAACTCAGATTTCTCTGTCTTATTGAATTAGCGCCTCTCGAGCTGGCTGGGCTCGAAGCAAGCTCCTCCCGAGTTGCCGGCTGGGCCCTCGCCTCCTGGGAAACTTGCCTGGTGGGCGGGGAACCCCTAGAGGTGGTCCCTGGAGAGGGGGCGCTGGGGGTTTCTCCCGGGGCCCAGCCCACACCCCGGTTTCTTTCTTCCTTCCCAGGGGGACAGCGGAAGAGGGGGTGAAATCTACCTTAAGGTGCGGTCGGGGTCACCTTCCAGTCCCACCCCACCCTCCCAACTCTAACCAGCGCCCCCCCCCAACCCCGGCCGGTCCTATGGGTGCACCCGCTCACCGCCGCCGCGCAAGCCCGGGTGCCCCAGCCCCGGAACGGCAGCCTTCTCGGGCTCCGGGTGCCCACCTCCTCCCTCCCAGCCCCAAGCCCTCTCAGCTCTCAGGCAACCCCGAAAAGTTGAGCGCGGCGGGTGGAGCGCGAGGAGGCCTCCACTGGGAGCGTGGGGCTGCGGCACGGGGCTGCTGGCGGGGTGGGGGTCAGCTCCCCGCCGCGGACCCCAGGGGTTCCGAGTCCTCGCTTCGGGTGGGCTGCAGGGGTCGTGCCTCGCACGGCAACGTGCCCGGCAATCCCTCCGTCGCTTTTTGTCTTTCCGAAGTTGAGTCCAAGCCCCGGAGCAATTAATAATCACACCTTTAATAAAGGCCGGGCTGGCGCCGAGGGGCCCCCCTCATTTGGCACCTCCTCCCTTAATTAGGAGACGCCGAGCAAAGCGCCCGGCAATTACTCGCATCCTTCTGCCCAGCGCCGCAGCCGGCAGCGACCCCGCCGCCACCCTCAGCCCCCAGGCAGGCAACTTACTCGGGAGCCGGAGCCAGCAGACCCCGCGAGCCCACGGTCCTCTTCCCGCCTTCCCGCGGCCCCTGCTCCCACCGTCCACGCGCCACCCAGCTTCAGGTTCGACTCCACAGTGTCCCCGCGCCGGTCCGGGCGCATAACCCTCCCCATCAGCCCACCCCTCCCAGGCGCCGAAAGAAGTTTCTAGCGGCGGCCGGAACGCAAGAGTTTTTCTGTGCAACTCACACATTTTCCCAGTTTTCCGAGAGGGGAAGGGGATGGCAGGAATTGGGGTGGCTCTAGAGGGTGGCGATTCAGTCGGGGTAGGGGAACGGCCCGAAGGAAGGGTTAATTTCCTTTCCACAAACATATCCAGACGTTCTCTTAACATCCACCCTCCCGCCCCACTCACTCGCACAAACGATGGGAAATGACCCTGGTGGGGAAAAAGCCAGCTCCGAAAGACAAGCTACTCCTTTAAGATGTTGCTACAAATGCACACTCACACACCCCTCTCCAAGCGACTCCGGTCCTCAGCTAGTAGCAGCCGCCACCAATAACTTTTGCATCCGAGCCTCGGCTGGGCTGCTGTTAAGTGGCTCCCGGCCCCGGGAAAGCCTGCGCGGTCACCGAAGCCCTTTAAAAATGAAAGGAGACTGGCCAAGCTGCAGCACATCCACCCACCCCCCACCCCGCTCGCCTCCCGGGCTCTCCCCGCCCGCCTTACCCCGGCTCCGAGCGGCTTCCCGGAGCGGAGACCCCGGAGGCCGCCACCCTCCGGCGCTCTGCCTCCCCCGTCTGGCTGGCGCTGGGTGGGGGCAAGGGCCGAGGGCTGCGAGCCGCTGCTCCTTCCCCCGCCGCCTCTGTGGCCGTCAGATCGGGGCTGGGGAGCCCTCCGGCCGCCGGGGGGGCCGCCCGCAGCTGTCCCGGAGACGCGGGCCGGGGGAGGGGGCCGTCTGCGCCGCCCGCATCGCCCGCCGGGGGCCGAGCCGGAGGTCGCCGCTAACAAGTGCAAACTTTTGGGGCCCCCTGGGCGGCTCGGAGAGGACCCGCGCTCGGGCACCAGGCAGCCCCCGGCCCGGGTGGGCTTCGCGGCGGCTCGTCGGGGCGCCGGGGCATTCCCCCCCTCCCCGGGGCGCGGCGCGGGCCAGATGGCCGGGGCGCTTCACTGCCCCCCTGCACTCCGCTCCAAGTTAATGCTGAGGCTAAATCCTCTTGCCATCACTCACGATCACCATCGGGGCTTTTATCTCCCGGTCTGATCCGGGCTGCGTAACTTCCTCTGTGTGGCTTTAACACACCATCCCACCACGGAGCAGCGGTCTTCTTAAAGGTGCAGGAAGGAAATACTGCGAGACTCGGGGGACGCGCCACGGCCTGGGGAGGGGCGCGGCGAGCAGGGGCGTCCCGGCAGGCCCGCGGCCAGGGTGGCCCCAGCGGGCGGCCGCGGGAGCGAGCCTGCTCTGGGGGGGCGAGGGGGGACGGGGGTCGCAGCCTACACATCGCCTCCCGGCCCGGGGGCCAGCGGGTCCCCGCACGCAGAGCGCATCTCAGCCAGCTCGGGCCAGGCGCCGCGGGGCTGCGGCTTCCTTTCCCCAAAACCCGGGGGCCCGACCGGGTACCGGCGCCCATGGGTGTGGGGGCTGCCCCATCGGCCCCCGGGGAGGGGTCCAAGTGAGTCAGTCCGCCCTCCGCCGCACCCCCCCGCGCCCCCCCCAGACAAGCCAGGGGCTCAAGGCTGCTGCTCAGTCTCCCTGTGAAGTGTTGCCACCCAGAAGGCCCCAAGCAGTGGGTAAAGGGGTGGGTGGGTGGATTTGGGGAGACGGGGAGGGGGACCATCTGAGCACACAAGCGGAGCCTGAATACCAGCTGACACATCGCCGCCTCCACCCTGACGGGCCCTGCTTTTGACGGAGCCAAGCCAGCTCCGGAGGGAGCGCGGGGTAGGGGGCAGGAGGGGCCTCACTCCCTGGCGAGCCCGGGAGGAGGGCGTGGGAGGACTCCCGCGGGGGCCTAGGGCCGAGGCCAGTGGACTGGCCGCACTGGCAGCCCCCGGGGGCTCTTCAGCGCCCCCGCCCCCCACCCGGAGGTTTCCTTCCGGGCTCCCTCCCAGGCCTGCGGGGAGAGCTGTCTCCACCTTGCAGGGGCACCCGTGGCTTTCAGATGCTCCGGGGCGCGCTCTGGGTGGGTTCTCACTGCAGCGCTCAGGCAGCCGCCTCTGTCACTGGGATGCATCAAGAACAAAGCCTGAGGAAGGAGAGAGAGCAAGGAGGGACTGGGCCAAGGTCGAGGAGGGTGTCAGGGATAAGAGCAAGGTGTGCCCCTGAGGGCCCCAACCCGCTGCCAGCCTTAACCCTTCCCTCCTCTGGGCTTCCCCCAAGCTGCCCGAGGGGGGTGTGCTGCTGACTAACGTTTAGCCTGTTGTTGCAGAGTGGACGTGGAATTCAAGACTGTCCTCTGCTTTAATAGTCATAATAATAATTTAACATTTATTGAGCACCTGCTTTATGCCAGGATCCATGCAAACCGCTTGATGTGTCTTATCCACCAGTTCTTCCCCGCAGACCTGGCACTTAACTCCTATTAGTCAAGTCCCGAGTTATATTAAGAGATGAAGCTTAGAGATGTTAAGTAACTTGCCCAAGGTCACACAGCTGAGGAAGACGCAGGCCTGGGAGGCAGGGCTCTTGGGCTCCCCCGTGGGGTTCTGCCTCTACTCCCTGACTTGCTGGTTAACTTGGGGCGCACAGCACAGATTGCTTCCAGGCCTCAGTTTCCCCATCTGTGAGATGTGAGTGGTGGGTGAGTCTTTTCCTTTTCCAGGGAGCAGACAGAACAAGGCCATGAAGGGCCTCCTCCCACAAGTGCTCTCAAAGCCCTCCCACTGGAGAAGCCCACCCCTGCCCCCCA